ATCCCACTTGCCTTCCTTTTTCTATTTGCTGAAATTTCTAACCTTTCCCTTTAACTTGAGATTGTGGAGCCTTAGAAGGATTTGGAATCTCTTGCAAGTTTGGTGCATCTCCATCAAAATGTCCAAATGGATTCTCTTCCCATACATTTTTTGCTTGCTTCTTACTTTCTTCAATTTCCTTCAAACTTTGTTGCATCCGATAACGAATATCAAATGGCACCTTATCACACTTTCTGACATCTCCTCCCTTTCCAGCAAGGTGTTGTTTTATTCTATTAATGCCTCCTCCTTTAAATGTCTTTTGGCAATGTAGACATTTAATTGATTTTTTTGTGCCTTCAATAACTTCAACACAATGCTCCCATGTTGCATTTGTTTTGGCTCTTAAAGTTTGAGAAGATGTAGCAATTGAATTTTGTCTAGATGATGACATATTTTTGTAATTCTACAACAAAATAAAATAAAATCATTAAAGCAGCCCAATACAAAACAAGTAAGGCTAGAAAAATTGCCAAATAGGTATTTAGATCCATTTCAATGATCAAGAATCTTGGTAATTCTCATAAATCACAAAACCAAAACTAGTGGTTAAAAAACTAAAATAAACTTAATTTAGTTTGAAATGTTTCTTTTTAAATTTCAGTTAATTAACATTAATTTCATCTATATAATATAATTAAACAAAATTATGATAATGTGCATTCATAGAGATATACAGAGGGACCTGTAACCCTTTGCCTATTCTGCTCGATTTGATTGAGGATATAATCTCTAAAAGCTTCTATTCCTATGTAATAAAATCGTGGCATTGCTCATTTTCCTGGAAACCAAGCAGCTTTTTGTCACACTAGAGCTAGCTCATAAAAAAAAGAAAAAGAAAGAGGGTCTGTTTTTGGCAGCTAAAACCATTACAAAGATTAATAATAGATTCAATCATTTAAATTGAAACAGAAATGCAGAACATGCAAAATACCAAAATCAAATTCAAATTGAATTTCACATAAATAAATATACTCTGTAAATAAACTCAAAAATCAAAATGCAAAGCAAAACCCAATCCAAAATAAGCAGTACAAAGATGAGAAATATACTAAACTAAAGCAACAAAATGCAAAGCAAGGCA